TGGGTTGTAGCTTGATCCCCAGTAGAGCACGTGCAGGAGGCAGCCAATCAATAATTCTCATCATTGATACCCCTCTCCCTTCCTCTCTGAAATCAATAAAAATATATTTTAGAAAAGAACCTCCCTTGATTTCTTGTATTTTGTGTTGTAGATCAACCCTCTGCTCCAAGCATTGCTTTAAGTGTGATGCCTTTTGTACAAACATTCTCAATTACTCTGATGCTATGGATTTATGATTTGGACTTTATTCTTCTTCTTGCACTTTAATGTTGCCCTTCTGCATATTTTAATAAGCCATGCCTAAATTATTTTTATTGCTGAGGTTGTTTTAACTGTTGTTCAGAAATGGAATTGTCAGGGGCCAGACAGCAGAAGATATTGCCTAACTTTATTTCTTTACAGCTCAATATATATAAGCACTGTATTCCCATTTTTGGTTTTCAATCCAAATCTGTCCAGGTTAGGCCTGGCTTTTTGTCTTTCCACCATGTTTCTAACCTGGTAAATCTTGGTTCTTTCTGGTGTTTGCAATACAATAAAATAAAAACTACTTAATATCAGCTATGAATGTAGTCAATGTCCTTCAATCATTAATAATCATGTTAAACAAAAGGGGGCCTTTTCCTATGTATATGGTGTAGTACCTCACTAAAGTCTTGCCCTCAATATTGTTAATATACTGAAACTATTGTGACATTATCTTACATTTTCAAACCACCTGATATTGTCGAAATGAACTTTCTTCATTTTCTTGGTCACTAGCAGGTAATTCAGTGGTAATTGTTTCTTTGTCAGACATTGACAACGTAGTGTTGACCACAGTCTGGATTCTTTGGGCTGCTGATGTTCAAAGTTCTCTCCTTGTTCACTTCCTAACACACTCAACACCTCCCTCCAGCTGCACCATGAGCTTCAGTTCAAAGAGCTGCATTTAATTTACAGATCAATGTGTTTTTGTTAGTTTCAAGGAGCCACACATTGTTCACTGTGATTTTTGCCACAGTTAAAAGCATTTTTTACTTTGAGGACCACAATTTTGTAATCATAGCACTACAGCCCACATTTACTCTTAAAAAAAAAAGAAAAAGAGTGCACTTTTCTTGCTCCTTTTCTACCTTATAAATTTTCAAGAAAGCCTGCTAGATAACAAAACCTGATTGCAACCTAATTTCATTGTATATCAGGCACATTGCCTTCTCCACTGGTTTGTATCTTTGAAATGGTAGAGCAATGCAAAAATCTGCCAGGCACATGTTTAATTCATCGGCTGACCTTTTAAAACGTAGTTTTTGTCATTAAGCTAAAAGTGATCCAAACCTTTAGAAGTACAGTACAACAATATTTAGACCTATAATAACTTCACACAGGGGGTCCGTGGTTTAAAAGCATGGTTTGGGTCTTAAATAATAAATTGATTTCTCTCTCTTTTTGCTTTCAAGTTCCACTTTACTTTTTGCCCTCACTCCTGAGAGATGAGGCAAATTAACTCCTTACAAGTAAAGGGAGCAGGAGACTCTGAGAAGAGAAGCGGTTTTTTTCCCAAATAACTTTTATTGATCGTGGATCTGAGTCACTAAACTGACTTTGCTGAGGCGGGAATTGTCACAAGTTGTTCCTATAAACCCTCCTTCCGCCACCCACTGCACGGCCCAGTACATGTCCAGTCTCAGGACACTGTGCAACTTTCCTGGGCTGTATTTCACGGAGACTAATTCTGGGACCATGACCTCCTTGAGAGTCGGGACCAGGTCAACTATTCTCTGCATCCCCAAGGCCTAGCACATGCCAGGGACGTGTGTGGGCTCACTGAATAGATGTCTGCATAGGGATCAGTTAAATAATTAATTGAACTTTAAATTTAGCTGATGCTTTTACATTTCTCTCCAATATTAAAACTACAGTTAAGGGTCAATAGAGGGGAAAGCCTCAGGATCACGCTGGCCTGAATTTTCCCAACTTCTGTTCTGTCAAAACAAGAGAAGACATAATCCTCAGAATATTAAGAGGCACTATCTTAACATTAGTTAGTCCTATCTTCACTGTGGCATTCCTAAGTATAATATACCTGCATTAACATTGCCAATAAATTATTTGTAAAATTCCAGACTTCCACTCAATATGCTATGGGCAATAGTTACTGAAAAACGTTTACAATTGTTTATTGATACTGGCAGAAAAACAAAGATAAATAGACATACTAAAATTTATAATCATGCCTTCTTTTATGGGCTCTACATTTACCTGACAGTATCAATAAATATCCCTGTACAAGTACAATAATAACCAGGCTCATCAGAAAAAGATTTTTAAAACATCGTCACATGGATAGGAAATGACAGACACATGTAAGTGAAAACTAACTTTATTAGAAAAATAATTTCACTGAATTCCTGTAATTGGATGGCTCTAAAAATCACCACAGTTTCAATTACTCAAGGATTGTGATGGAGTTTCACCTCGTGAAACTGTAGGAAGTTAACCAAATTATTTATTTCTTTTAAATGGTGGATAACATGAATAAAAGTATTACTAGTATTACTATGTTATTTAAATCTAATTTAAAAACATAATTTACATGATGAAAATTGCTTTACTTCTTAATCAGAGTCACTCTGGTGGAACTGCTTTAATAAAAGGTTTTTTTATATATATAATTTAGCTTTCCTATTAGAAAATGAATTTTTCTATCTCTAAATTACAAATTGGCTCACACTTTTAACCTTTTCTTCGATCATGTAGCTTGCCTGAGATGGAGTGAAGGGGGTGCCGTCTGATAACCCCACTGCCTTTACTTTGCATTTCTGTCCTGCACA